CCAAAACCCCAAAACCCCAAAACCCCAAAACCCCAAAACCCCAAAACCCCGAGAGAGGGCAATAAAATTACAAAAGTATCAAAATAAAATATATAAATAATAAATCATAAAATTTATTAATGTCTTTAAGTGAATTTTAAATCATTGCAAAATTAGGTAAAACAGAATTAAGCTGATAAATATTTAGGCGATGGTTCTTATAGTTAAGTCTACAAGGTAAAGAGAATTGAAGACCACCAGGAGTATGCCTTGAAAAAAGTCAAAATGATAAATTTGTCAGACCGAGAGAAGGAAAACGCTCTAAATGAAGTCAGAATTCTCGCATCAATTAAACATAAAAATGTAGCTGCTTACAAACAAGCATTTTTTGATGAACCCTCCTCATCTCTATGGTAAACTTCACTAAAATAAACAGATTATTCAAACAATGATTATAGTATTGTCATGGAATACGCAGATAATGGGGATGTCTTTCAGAGAATTTGCGAACACTAGCAGGCAGGGACAACAATGAAGGAGAAAGTAATTTGGAAAATATTTATATAAGCTGTTCGAGGATTAAAAGCGTTGCATGATCTAAAAATCCTGCACAGAGATATGAAAAGTGCAAACATATTTCTATGGAAAGATTACACAGCAAAACTAGGAGATCTCAACGTATCCAAAGTGGCTAAGAAGGGACTCCTATATACCTAAACAGGCACACCGTATTACGCAAGTCCTGAGGTGTGGAAGGATTAGCCTTACGATGGTAAATCTGATATTTGGTCCCTAGGCTGTGTTTTGTATGAAACTTGCGCACTTGTGCCTCCATTCAGAGCTGATGATATGAATGGTCTGTTTAAGAAGATCTTAAAAGGGTAATATCCTCCAATACCCAATCACTACTCAATGGAATTGAGATCAGTTATAAAAAGCTTGATACAAGTAAACGCTGCTTCAAGGCCAACATGTGATTAAATCCTGGAGATGGGCATAGTAGCCAAAAGAGCAAGAAAATATTTTCACAACGAAATTCCACTGAGGGATATAGAGAGCGAGTCTGAGCTACTGAAAACAATAAAATTCTCGAAGAATATATTCAAGCTGAAGCTGCCTCAAGCCACATACGAGCAGTTGTCGTTTGCTACTATTCCTGTGCACGGGTCCAAATAATTATCAATGGGAGGTAAGGTAAGAAATAATATGTCATCTAAAACTTAGATGGTCGAGAAGCCTCATCTCCCTAAAATCACTCAATCAACAAGGAACGGAGGTAATAATCACAATAACTCGAGCAATAGCGGGGATGGAGATGACGAGTATGAGCAGGATTTCGAAAATGATGAGAGAAGAAACCATCATGAGTCCAAACCTAAATCTAGATCCTATTCAGGAAGACGAGAAATAGAGGCTAAGAATTACAATAAACAGAAAAAGCAGTAACTACTAGAAATCAATAGTAATATCGGTAATCCCTAGCAAACATCAAATGAGAATCTCCCATTGGCTAGCAACAGATCAAAGCAGAATCTTTTAGAAGAAAACAATTCATCTTCTTAAATTACACTGACGTAAGTTTAAGGGAAAATTCCCTCTCCTAAATCTCAAGAAAAGCGAGGCCTGACTTAATCTCCAAGTCATCAGGTACTTTAAACGACAGCTACTGACACCTAATCTAGCACCTAGCAGACAATATCTTAGGTGACTATAGTCAAACCAAAAAAATAAATATCTCAAAAGGCCTAAGATAATTCTACAATACAATCAACTATTTTGGAGCAAGAAAATGAATCTGAGGCGATAGAAAGACTATCGAGAGGGGAAAATCGCAAATTGGCAACTAAGATGTAACGGTAAAGCAATCACACAGCTGAATTGATAGAAAAAGATAAGTAAGACAGACTAAGGATCAGAGAAAATGCCCAATCAATGATTGATAGTTCTTAGTAAAATCAGAGATCCAGGGAAGATAGGAAGAATTTGCACATGCCTTCTGCTAAGTTAGATGAGTTACCCAAAGTTGCACAATTGTCCTAATCTCCATCAAATATGAGTTTAGGATCCCCAGAAGGTTCTCCTTTGATAAATCATTAAAACTAATAGGCAAAAAGTTTAAATCCATCTACAATGAATAGGAATAATATCATACTTAAGCCTTAGAAAAACTAGCAATCACCTAACTTCAAAAGAATTGTAAACATATACTCAGTAAATAACTACAAAAAGAAAAAATATATCATCAATGATAATAATACTTCAAACTACGGTATTCAAAATGCAAATCAAAGTTAAATTAGTTTAGCTAGCTAAATTTACAAAGGAGAAGATATAAAACTAAAACTGTAGCAGCTTAGAGAAGGAATGGGTTACTATGATGGCAAGTCACTTGGAAGTTTGAACAATCGTGACAGCAGTTAAGAGTAAATCTCATAGTATCAACAGTAACATAACAATTCTGTATTACTTCCAGAGTTAAAGAGTGTCACTCCATAGATATAGAATGTTAAGAATAATTACTCCATGCTTAACAATGGAAGCTAAAGTTATTCAAATAGTGGAAGTGTTGCTAAACTGGCAAATCGAAAGAAAAGCTATGAAAGATTAATGCGGGTAGATTAACAGTCTTATCACCTTTATAAACATTAAAATGGAAAAATAGAAATATAGAATCCTATTAGATCTGGTGGTATAAATGTATATGGTCTCAAACAGAGACCGTAAGGTTATTACAATGTGAGTGCTAATTACTCTGTGCTGAGTAATGGTGGAGGAGGCAACTCTGGCCTGCCTAGTGAACTAGATGTTTAAGGAAAATCAGTTATCAACTCGAAACAGATAATAAATGCTAGTTATATATAGAATAATTTGTGATTTATATTTAATCTCTATTAGTTTAATTTTACTAATCCGTTTAATTTTAGAGGCTTTAATTCTGAGTTGAGCCATCATTCATCGAGTGATTGCTGCTGCTGTTGTGCCGTATCATTTATTCTTCTTACTCTCGATTCATTCCTTGCATCCCAGCTGCTGCGGCTACTTCATAATTCATAGTCTCATCCTAATTGACACCGATTGTGATAGCCTCAACTCTCTGTGAATAATTACTCTCAGAACTATTGAGGGAGAACACAGCTTTAGTCTTGCAGAAGATATCTTTATATCTTGAGAAAGTCTTAAGCATAGTTTTCTCCCACTCTTGGAGATTGCAATTAGCGCCAGCTCTGTCTACGAACTCGGATCTAATTTTATCTCCAAAGAGCTAAATCATCTTGATCTTGATCTACTTGATATCCCCCTTTCTATCCATCATCTTCAACAAACAAGAAATAAGCATCTGCTTCATCCCTGGGTTTGCACCCACACTAAATCTGCTGAAATCAGCAGATGGGTTGAGCTGATACTCTTAAGGAGTTTTTGAAAAATATTTGCTCAGAAACTGCTCAAGAGTCTTGTAAGTGCTTTGATTTTTAGCGAGGTTGATATCGTAGATTCTCTCAATTCTGGTAAAGATCTCTTTTTTGGTTCCTCTTTGATCTGGAAGATCTGTTAATGCTTTGGTAATCATCTATCTTCTTGATATTTTGCTGTCTAATTTCTCAGGCTCGAACTACTCTCTCTTTTCTTCTTCCTTCATGAGTTTCTTAGTCTTAGTAAAGACCTACTATATGGTAATGTTGAAAATCAGAGCTAGTTCTGACCAATCAGCATCACTCAACTCATGAATATCTTTGTTCTTCCTCATTACCAACTCCATGAGTCTTTGTTCTTCTTCTGCAGTCCAGTTCTTATATTTCTTTTTTGATTATTAAGAAATATTGTTGGATATGTTTGTTCCAAAAACACTCTAGCTGATAGACATCTAGTCACTAAGTGATGTAATTGTCCCTAATCTTTTATCTTAGGAGGATAATGTTGGCGAGGCTTTATGTGATTCATGATTGATCTATTCTAGTATATTTTTGGTCAGGTTGAAAGCGAATCTGGTCAATAATCTTGTGGGTTCTTCCATTCTTATATCTTACTTTGCATCCTCAACAGCTTGAATCACAATTGCATTTAGATTAGGATTTTATAAGAGAGCTTGAATATCTTCAAATTAGATGTTTTTACTATGGACATCTTGAGTGAATTGCTTGAGTAAATCGCAGTTATTTTCAACTGTTTGATTTGAAAGATATTTTGGCTAGTACTCCCTGCTATTTCTAATCTTGCTCTGATTAGAAACTCCTGAGTTAAGTCTCTATCTTTTTCTGTTTCTACTTTGAGCGATGCTATTCTTTATTTTCAGCATTTTTTCCTCAGGATCTTCAAATAGTTTGTGAAGTCCCTCATTTTATTCAAATTATTAGTTGTAATCAGGGGATAGCATAAGCAAACTGTCCTCAAAGCATTGGGCTTGCATCATCTCTTCTTGAGTTACTTATGGTTTTCTTTGGTGAGTCTACTATTAGTTTCTCATGGTGTGAAATCCATTTTGGTATTACTCCTCAGGTTTGAATAACTTATCAATATTTAATGGGCGCTCGTCCAAAAATACATCTTCAACCAATTGATTCACCTTCAGGGAGTCTTAGTAGGTTTTTTAGTACAAGTTCTACCCATAGATTGTAGCGAAGCAATCAATAGCAGCCAAGTTACCTAAGATATTATTAAGGTTAAATTTCAATTTACTATATCTCTTGCTGTTGTCCTAGTAGTTATAGTAAGATTTATAAGGTCTATCGTAATCATCATAACCAAACTCGTCCTCTTGGTTTGATTGGAAAGACTACTTGTGATGGAAAAAGTTATTGTAGCGAGGACTGTCGTCATCAAGAATTTGATGATTACTTGTGTCCCTTTGATGGTTGGAATGAGATATAAATGAATTGGATTAAGTGCGGTCAGGATCCTATTATAAGTGCTAACGAGGTTTCATATTTATCTGAGCAATTTTTAGTTGTATAGTAATAGAACTTAATTAATAATATAATGATTTGTTTGAATCTTTCCCCAAATTATTAAGATTTAAGCCATTCGGGGTTTTGGGGTTTTGGGGTTTTGGGGTTTTGGGG